CTGACGCCGGTGGAGGCAGGGGACACAGAAGGCTCCTGCTGTTGGGTGGGGGGAAGATCTGTGGAGGGAGCAGATAATCTCAACCCACTGCATGCAGCACAACAAATGCCAGGACAGACAGATGGACTAGTGGGAGTGCGCTCAGAAGAGGTGGCCGACTCCTGGGGCTGGGCACTTGGGTCTGAAGAGGATGGGTGTCAGTAGGATCTCTGAGGACACTTGGCCACAGCACAGCAGAGAATAGTGGGACAGTAGGAAGGGGCCAGGCAGCTCAGGTATGTCATAGAGACAGTAGATTCAAGGCAGGGAGTGGAGGAAGACGGAGTAGAGAGATGGTCAGGGCCCAGCTCCTGAAGCGTCTGGATGAGGGATTTGGGCTTGTGTGGGAAACAGGACCATCTGGTCAGGAATGAGCCTCTGAAGATTTGCCTTGGCAGCCACGGTACACTCCAGGGATGGACAGGAGGGAGATGGCACAACACTGTCACGTTAGTGCAAGAGGAGAGGACAGGACCTGAACCAGGAGGAAGAGAAAATGGGCAGAAAGATACCAATGCAGAACTCCTTAGGAGGCCCATCAGAGGACTCCGTGACAGACAGGGACGTGGAACCATGGAAAACACTCAGGTCACAAAAACCCCCACAGATGTGATGGACTGTTTTGTTTCACAGGCAAAGTTAGGAGATGGCAAGCAGGTGGGAATGAACACAGCTCTGGGATGCCATCCTGCCACCTTTCCACTCGAACCTGCTCAGTGAGTGGTTTTCTGTGCTAAAGTCCTTACGAGGCCTCAGGGTCACAAGACAGCCGCTGTACCTCCAGCCTTCATTCCAGGCGGGGAAGGTGGCGAGGACCTTTCTCTTGAAAAGGCTTTGAGTTTTTCTTTGGGATGCACTCCTTCATCTCATTGGCCAGGACTGTGTCATAAAGCCACCCTAATTGCAAGGAAGGCTGAGTGATTTTAGTGGAGTTCATTGGTACCCTGAACAAAAGCAGAGTTTGGTCAGGGAAGAGAAACAGATGAGTATTGGCTGGGTACCAAGCACTGTCTGCCCCAGGGGAATGTGGGAGGTGGGGGATGTGTCAGAAATACCCCAAGTCTGACAAGTCCAGCTTAGAGACATAAACAGTTTGAGGTGCCCACTGGCCTCCAGAGAAGATGGGCAATTAGGTACACCCACCTGAAGTTTCAGTGAGGACACTTGCCTGAAGCCAGAGATTTGGAGTCGTCAGCTCGTAATGAAGGATGACCTTCCAGAAGTTCCCAGCCCATTCCATAACTCCGCTCTCTAGAGAGCACACACCCTCCAGAACCCCTAAAGTAAGAATGGCAGGGTTGTATCAGAGGAAAGCATCCCGCTGCCTTAGCTCTGGGGTGGTTTCTGTGTATGAACCTTGGCCCACGGCGAGCTTAGCATCTCCTTGGGGAAGAACTGCGCCTTCTTCCTTGTCGTTGCCAGCCACTCACAGAGGGCGGGAGCATCGAGGTCAGGAGATCAACGCTGGGGATTGACAGGTGGGGGCCGAGACATCTGCCATCCTGGGACTCTAACAAAGCATTTCCTTAAGCAAGACTCAGTGTCCCTCTTTGCCACCGTGTGTCGACCCTGGCTGACTGGGACAAGGGATTTTTCACCCCTCTCCCGCCGTGGCTGGGTCCTCATCTGTAATCAGGAGCTGTCAGGAAGGCTGCGAGGAAGCCTGTTAATTATCCTAATTATGCTGAGAAGGGCCCTTCCTCAGTGATTTGCAGTGATTTGCTCTTCCCATCCAGAGCCAGGCCTGGGATGCCGCTGGCAGCAGCCTGCCCTGCCTGCCCACAGGCCCACGGGGCCATCGTCATCGTCATCGTGTCCCAACCATCCCCGCCTGAGAGCAGGAGGAACCCCTGAGGGAGGAGCTTTTCTGAAAGTAAGGGGTTTCTCGCCACCTCAGCCGTCCTGCCTCGAAATCTCCCTCCCCCTGACACCCGTGGTCAAGCTGCCCCGGAGGCCATCCCTCTGCCTCCTCTACAAATCCCGCAAGTGCCTGCATCCCCTCCCCACCCTCAGCGTCGACCTCAGAGCCCCTCAGCCTCAACCTGGAGACGCCTGTCGCCTCCGCAGGCTCCTCCCTTGTCAAGGCAGGGTACTGACTCTTTTTTTTTTTTAAGATTTTTTTTTAATTTATTCATGAGAGACACAGAGAGAGAGAGGCAGAGACACAGGCAGAGGGAGAAGCAGGCTCCCTGCGGGGAGCCCGACGTGGGACTCGATCCCTGGACTCCAGGATCATGCCCTGGGCACCTTAGGCCCTAAACCGCTGAGCCACCCAGGTGTCCCACTGGCTCCGTTTGTCTGTAGAGCCTTGAACACACAACCATGATAGGTCCTGCTGTGCCTTTCTTGCCCGCTCTCCCCCAACTGTGAGTGCATCATGGGTAGAAACCATACCTGAATCTTCTCTGTCATCACAGGGATTCTGTGGGAGATGCCTGGTGAGTGAATGAATGAATGAGCAAGTGAATGAATGCCTAGGGGACTGGAACTGTGCAGACCCAGTGTACCCCCAACCACACAGGATGAGGAAGATAGCACACTGTCCATACTCTCTCTTGTGGTGGGACAAGTTCTGGGGGGAGGGGGGTATCAGATGACCATTCCTCCTAGAACACAGAGCCCTACATGGGTTATGTTCCCTGGTCACACACCAATCCTCTTGAGATGAGTAAAATAAGAGTCTCACACACACTCGTACTCACAAACACCTACTTGTAGCCTCCATCCAGTCACATTCTCTGGTCACATGGCCCCTCTGAAGACACCATGCAGTGCACATTCACTGGTGTGAGCTCCTAGAACCCATCCCCCATTTCTGTGGAAGCCATGCCCCAATTTGTGTTCAGATGTCCACCCTCCTCCTCTCGGCCTAGCCCCACCTCCAGCTCAAGGCCTTGTAATTTTGGGACAATCAGAGGTCCCCACCCCCAGCCACAGAAACTGACTGGGCACTGGGGACTCAGGCCAATGAGACAAAGGAGATTTGCTGAAGGGCTTCTGCGAAGGAAGGCTCATGTCCCTCTGCAGAAGTTTCTTTCCGCACAGTGCAGAGCACAGATGTCAAACCTGAAACTGATGGGAACCCTGTCCAAAGATGAAGCTAACACCCAGGGAACAGGGGGCCAAGAACATCATGGAAGGCCTGAGCTCTAGCTTGAGTGCCCATCTACTTTAGATGCTAAGAACGCCCAGCCAAGGCTTGATGCGCAAAGGAACCCAATGTTTGGTCACAATGTCCCAGTTCATACCCAGTGTTTGGGAGTGGGTGACACTTAGAGGTGTGAATACTTAAATTCCCAAGGTGTCAGGGCCAGTGGGACCAGGAGAAGAAATGCCAGTGTGGTTTCCAAATCCAACCAAGGATGAAGAACAAGAGGCCAGACAGGGCTGGCTAGTATCAGAGTCACTGTGGAAGGGCTTGGGAGCTAACAGAAGGGAGAGGAGCTGGCTGGAGGGAGGGGGAGTTCCCAGAGATGGGCTGGGGCCTTCTGAAATAGTCTGGTCACTGCTTGTGCAGAGTCTATGGCTTTGGGCAAGGAGAGAGAGGGACCATTAGCACTGACAAGGTATGTGCTGCTCACCTCTGAATTTCAATTTCCCTCAGACAGACAAGAACCTGGTAGTGTCCCAGCTCCCAGACACTACCCAGCTCAGGCTGCAGGCCAACTGCCTACCCTCTGGAGCAGGGGCGCTACACCCAGGCTCCCTACCTCTGGGGGCCCTCTGCGTAGGGTCAGCTCCCTCCCGCTGCCTGTATGGAACTCCCTGCAGGCCCCACCCTGTGACACACAGCAGAGCTTTTCCTCCAAATTTAGCCCCACTGCAAAGCAGGACCTCCTTGAGGGTCAGAGGGTACAGCTCAAAGCCACCATTCAATACAACCATGAATCTCACATTGTGATTAAGCCTAAGGCAAATAAATGTTTCCTTAGGAAAATGTATTTACATTTTCCATCCCGAAATAAAAGTGAGGATTCTCATGGCACACCCATGAGAAAGTGCCCAGGGCACACACCCGAGGTTCTAAAGCACAGTGGAGCTGACCAAGTCTGGGCTTCAAGCCCAGCCCCAGCAGCAATTAACTGTCACTGTGGAATGAATGAATGAATGAATGAATGAATGAACGAATGAAAAGCTAAAGCTTTCAAAGCAGAGGTAAATGGAAATGAGCTCCGCGTGCCTCCATGTGCTCAAGGAAAGTGTGGTTGGCAGAGCCAATGCTGTCACAGCCAGACAAGGCAGGGCCACAGCTGTGGCTGTCCTGCCACCTGAAGCAAAGCCCAGGGGTTTTACAAAAAAAACAAAGCTAAGATTCTGACATTCACCTCCTTCACCAGCTTTTGACCACTTTTTACCACTGTACAGAGTTATGTGGAGACAAATTATGTGGAGACAAGGAGCTGCCTGCAGTGGGGACTTTCCTGCTGGAAAAGGAGGGAAAAGACAGGCCAGCTGAGCCCATCCCTCCTGGCACCAGGTCAGGCCTTCCCATGCATCCGAGGCCAAACATTCAGGTTCAAAAGCCTGTCCCGAGACTCACCAGCAAGCCACTGACCCTCCCTGGGCCTCGGGTTCCTCATCTGGGAAATGGAGTCCTGGCTCCTGACCCTGGAGTTCTCACCCATATTAAATCATGTCACTTAGGCGGCACCTAGCTGGCTGGCACCCTTCCCTTCCCATCACTCAGCCCCCATCACCTGAACCCCAACCAACCATCGGTCAGAACACCAGGGGGCTGGGGCTGAAGCTATCAGTCGGATCCAGAGGAGCTCAAGAGGCGGTGGCCGGCACACCATAGCTGGTGGGGAAACTGCAAGAGTGTAGTCTACTGACCAGCAGCCCCTGTCCTGGCAGGTCCGGGGGTGGACTGTCTCCATAGAAGTGCCGCAGATAATCACAGTGTACTCATACTGCGGGCAGAGGTGGAGTGAGAGCAAATAAATGAACATAGGCTTTCTGAGTGGTTTCGCCAGTTTGTTTCATTTTGCTTGGAACACTAAGATTTATTTTCAAACGGCACACAGACGGTCTGCAGGGTGGGGCCAGGCCGGGCTCATGTCTGGGCCCTGAGCTCTCTGGAGAGACCCAACCCCACCCACAGCAGCTGCCAGGAGAAAGAGGACCCTCACCCAGGCTGCTTGGCCAAAGCTTCAGGCAAGCAAGGTGGCTTGGCAGCCCCTAGCCCCGCCCTGCGGCCAGGCACACATGCGGGCGCAGGGTGGGTGGCCAGGAACCTAACTAGGGGACACAGCAGCTTCAGGAACACTGGTGATTCCACTGGACTTGCTGAAACCAGGCTCTTTGGAAAACCACCTAATCTTTGGGAGAATACCTCGTGGCTTAGGCCTCTCCTCTCAGTTTCCCTTTGCTTTTCAAAAGTTTAAAAACAAAAATCAAAAAAAAAAAAAAAAAAACCCAAAACACACATTTTTCGGGAAAAGGTGTTCTTCACACGCCCAGAGAGCAGCACCAGCCGTGGCCCTCACTGAACCCGCTCTGTGAAGTTCTCGGGGAAGACGCCCCGGCATTTCTCCAGCTCCTTGTGCTGGTTCCAGTCACTCTCCTTCACGCCCATGAGCCAGCCTTCATCCTGAGAGTGAAGCAGAGCACCCAGGTCACACAGGGATGGGGGCAGAGGGCACTGGAACCCTGCAGGGCGTGGGTCTTAAGGGAGATCTGCTGGAAAGATGTCCCCTCCTTGGTCTTGATCAGTTCCTCCAGCCTATCACACCCACTTAAAGAATGCCTCCTCCAGGCAGCATTCCCTGCTACCCCAGACCCAAACCTGCCCGAGCTAGGAGCCATCTGCCCTTCACCAGTGGATTTAACTCTGGCATTTGTGTGATTCCTCCTCTCTCTAGAAAGGCAGCCAGACTGCTGCACTGGTCTGAATGTGTCTAAACGCCATCCCAGGCCAGGAGCTTCCCACTATCAGGTGCCCACAGAGCATATCAGTTGTCCTTCCAGACTTCCACAAACAATACCAGAAATTTCTGGTGAGCACTGACCAGTTAAAGTTTCTCAGTGACTCAAAGCCCCTCATGAAGCCCTCCAGCTCAAATCCAGCCTTTGCTTTCACCCTGACAGTTCACAAGGACCACCTACCCAAGCCCAACAAAGTCCTTAGCCCAGACCCTGACCCCTGGGCCTGCAAGGCTCATTCATCCCTGCCCACAGTGGAGGCCATCACTGACCCTGCTACGCCTGGGATCTCCCTCGGTCCGTCACAGAGCCCACATATGTCCTCTCTGACCCAAGTCCACCCACCTACATGACTCCCACTGGTAGCCCGCCCAGTCCAGGGCTGGCCCAGGGAGGATGTGAGTAGAGACCCAGGGGTTGACAGGAATCTGCCAATTTAGCACCAGGCTCAGGAAATCCTTGTTATTGAAACCTCCCAGACCTGTGGCCTCAGTCCATCCCTGCTGCCCTCAAGTCTCAGCTCACTCAGCACCCCCAGCAAGGCTGCTGCTAAGAAGCCTTAGAGACCTGAACCAGGCAGCCTGTCAGGATTTGGGGGTGCAGTCCCCACTCTACACCAGCCCCAGGCTCCACGGGGAGCTCACGGTGAGACCAACTGACATGGAGAAGCCACAGCAGGGAGTGTTCTAGGAGGTATCTGGCCTGGGGAACAGCTGGGGACACAGCTGGGATGTTGGGGGTCCTGCCAGAAGCCATACTCTGTCCCTGTGGGCAGGGCGCAAGGGCAGCCTGGAGGAGGCAGCCCAATGTGAGGCCGCAGAGTGGGCATCTTGCCCTCTCACTGCCGGGCAGGAGGGCTCATGGAGAGGTGGCCAGGGATCCTGTCCTAGGAGGAAGGATGCCTTGAGGGGCAGGGAAGGGAGGAGGGGAGAAAGACCTTCAGCTGCAAAAAACTGAGAGAAAGGCAGTGCCAGGAAAGGAGGAAAGCGGACAGTCCGAGGAAGCAGACAGAGGGGACACGGGGACAGGGAGAGAGACTCAGGGAGATGGGATGGCATAAAGGGAAGGGGGAGAGGTGAATGGAGGGAAAATGAGTAAGGGAAGGAGGGTACAGAGACCCAGAAGAGCAAAGAGGAGGAGGTGGGGAGAGCATCTTGACGCCCGGCTGTGGGTCCGCAGCTGGTGGGGCTCTGCTGCCCCCTGCTGGCTCCTCCCGCCACAGCGGCCAGGCCCTTACCTGCTCCTCTGGGTTCTGGAAGGGGATCACCAGCACCACGTCACCCGCCTTGAGCTGCAGCTCATCGGTGTCGGTGGCCACGTAGTCGTGCTGGGCCTGCACCTATGGAAGTTTGGGGAGAGCTCAACTCCCCTGCCCTCATAGGCTCCGGTCCCACCCGCAACCAAGCACGGTGCACCAGGCTTTGTAGGGCTTCAGGATGCCCTGGCAGCGTGGTGACTGGGAGCCCGTCAAGGCAGCAGGACCAGCGCTCGAGCCGCCACCATGCCCACTGGGCAGCCAGGGGAGTGGGGGCCAGGGGGCGGGGGTGCTTTGGACCAACGCACACAGCTTCGCAGCTCAGTGTCCTCGTCTGTAAAAGGGCAATGTCGGCTCAGATAGCAGCCCAGGCTGTGGGGCCAGCAGCCCATGCTTACCTTGAACATGAAGCCTGGGGGCAGGTCCAAGCGTCCGGCCCCACCGCCACCCTCCACGGTGCCATTCACAGTTGCTGAGAAGGTCTCTACCACCACCGCAGGGAGAGAGCTCTGCAAGGAGGAAGCACGTCAGCGTGGGCAGGGAGCTGGTCCCGGGAGGGCAGGGGCCATGAGGGCAAGGGGAGGGGAAGGTCTCTGTGACAGATGCCAGACTGGTCTGCCTCCCCTGTGGAACTGCCACCTGGACCAGCACATAGCAAGGAGCACAGGCAAGACGGGGCTGGGGAGCCATGAGTGGGGGGGCAGGTGGACAGCAGGAAAGAAAAGACAGGGCCTTGGTCCCTGTCATCTTACGGAGGCCGCTTCACTTGCTGCTGTTTCCCCGGGCTCCTGGGCTCCAGCCGCAGGTGGGGTCCCACCCGCCACCTCCGAGGCCTCCGCTGGCTGCAACATAAATGCCGGCATGGGGTCAGACACAGGACAGACACCGTTCCCAGGACAAGGAGAGAGGCCGTGGACGGCAGCACTGAAGGGGCATCTAGAGCCCACCAGTGCCTCTGAGGGTACAGGAAGCCCCTATAAGAAAGGTCAGGTCCCTGCAATGGGAAGCAGCTAGAGAAGCAGCTGGAAAAGGTGCTGGCAGCACAGAGATGCCAAGTGACATGCTGCACAGACCTCTGGGTGCCACCAGGACCCTCCCCCATAGGCCCTATCCTCTAGGCCCAAAACCTGACCAAGCCTCAGCTTCTTCTCACCTGCCTGGCCTGGTGGCTGAGCCAGCAGACCCCATGCTTGGGGACAGCAGCCAGCCCCTGTCCCAGTCCAAACAACTCAAGGCAGGCCCAGCAGCCCCTGCCTGGCCCTGGACACCTGCTCTCCAAGGAGGGGGCAGCACAGTGCTGGGCACCATGGTAGGGGCCCGGCCGAGGCAGAGTGCACACGGCCCAGACTCAGTGAGGCTGACCTGGCCAGCACTCACTCAGCCACTTCCGAGCTCTGGGAGCAATCACTCAAGCTTCCTAGCCCCTACTTCCTCGCCTGTAAAAAGAGCAAATGTCTAGGTTAGAGTGAAAATTAAATGAGAAGATCCTGGAAAGTGCCTGCCATAAACCAGGAGATGCCCTGACCACTCCTCCCTCCGTCTGCAGGAAGCCTGAGCTGGGAGGCTGCGGTAGGGCTGGCGAGGTGGGAGGGGCCCATCTGGCCTGAATCACCGCAGGCAGGAGTGGCCTGGCCTCACCCTCAGGCTCACAGCAGCTTTGTCCATCCTGTGCCCCCTCCTCCAGGCTCTTCCTTTGCTGCTACACCCCCAGAGACTGGGGACAGGTGGGGGCTGGCAGGTGGACACTTACTTGGGCAGGCCCCGGCTCGGCCGTCTGGCTGGGCCAGGCCACAGCAAAGGTGCCCTCGGTAGCGCTGGGCTCCCCGGAAGGCAGGCTGCCAGCTGGACTCTCTGTGGGCTAGTGATGGGCCACCAGGGAGAACGGGGCGGAAGGGATGGGAGGCCAGGGAGGAGAGGGTGTCGGGCAAGGGCACGAGACAAGAGAAGAGAGTTGTGAGCAGCCTGGTGTCGGCAGAACAGAGAGTGGGTGCCTGCAGCAGGCAGCCTGGCCCAGGGGGGACAGAACCCTTAAAGGGAAAGCCACTCCCACCTCCTCGCTCCTACCACTGCCAAAGGGATGAGCAGGTGCAAATGAGCCACACACAGCTCAGCACCCACAGTCCACTCAACAAAATGGTGGCCCACACCAGGCTTTCACTGGCCTCCTCCAGAGTAAGACTATCCGGAGCCTTCGAGCTCCCAGGAGGATATGCCACCAGCACTTCCACACCAACTGCTGCTGCTGCTGCTGCTGCTGCTGCTGCTCCTGCTCCTGCAGAAGCTACACTGTGGTTGTTGATGAAGTCCCACGCCCTCCCTGAGCCTCATGCCCCGCCGCCAGGTGGTGCTGACACCTGCCCAGCATATGTTCTCATTAGGGCACCTGGCCTCACCCCACTTCCTCTGTCCCAACAGCTCCCTGATGCCACTACCCTGTAGGGCCCCCACAGACAGAAAACTCAAGGACGAAGACCCTCCACCCCACGGGCCCCCTTGCAGGCCTCAGCAGGGGACCACTCACAGAGCCTGACAACTGAGCCGAACCACAGAAGACCCTCTTCTCTGGCTAAACTGAGGAGCCCCCTCCCGACAGGGCCTGCTGAGGGGCAGATTCTCCACAGACGGGAAGCAGTGGGACAGCTGGGGACAAGCAGTAACAACCAGCTCCCTGTGTGCATGAGCACCGGCCCACGCGTGCAAGTGCACGCCCCTGTGAACAGGCTGGTGCAGGAACAGGCAGGGTGGGCCGGGACCACACAGAGGAGCAGCTCCCCCCCGGGGGTGGGCACAGAGCAAACACGGCTTACCTCCCAGAGGTCCCACGGAATTGACTAAGCGCAGCAGAGAGGGAGAAGGACAGAGTTAGTACAGAGGTTAGTGACAGGGTTGGGCGAGCAGTCCCCAGCGACCCCCACCCTAGGGCCCCAGAGCCCCCCAGGCACTGGGCAGCACAGAGCCAGGCTCCAGGGTCTCCAGAGGGCCAAGTCCTGGACATCTGCCAGGGCGCTGAGGCCAGAGCTGCTGCCAGGAGAGGGCAGGACGCTGATGGGGGCCTTATTTTTACCGAGTGGGTATTCAGCTGACCCTCCTCCTGAGGGTCTTCACCCTGACCTGTGTCTGACCTGTGTCTGCTCCTCCCCTCCTCATGTTCAGGGCTAGAGGAGGTGACAAGAGCTGGGGCCAGAGGAAGGGCAGTGAGTGGGCTGACAGCCTGGTGACCCCAGAGGCCCGGCACAGGTGGGCACACATGGCCAGACGTGAGCCCATGCCCCGGTGCCCCAGAGACCCACGGGCCTGCAGGCGGTGGTGGGCCCAGACCAACCTGACCAGAGGGCGTGGGTGCCTTCACTGGGCTCGCCACAGGCGGGAGGGGGTCAAAGTCCAGGTCCAGCAGACTGGCCTGCTCCGAGAAAGGCCCCGGGACCTCAAACTTCGCAGCAGTGGCAGAGGAGGAAGGCAGTTAGTGACAGGCTGGGAACATTCCACAGGGTGCATACACTCACGGACACGTCCGCTTCACTAACAAGGGAGCACTGCCCATGCCGCAGGCCCGGCATAAGTTCCACGCATACAAAGACAGCCCCTGCCACCCACCTCAGACACCAGCGACAGGCTCACTGGGGCAACCACCCAGCGGCCCAACGCCAGCCCCGACTGCCTGCCGTCCCTGCCCCACAGGCCGCAGAGGCCTCCCAGTGCCTGCGCCTCCTCCCTGCACCCCACTCTCCTAGCCACCCGCTCCGCCCACCCCTCAGAAGCAGCACAGTCCATCGCCCAGGCTGACAAGACCACACGCACTCCCTCTAACCAAGAGGGCCCTAGGACAGGCACTGACCTCACCTCGCCACCCCACAGACATGCCTGTGGTGACACCCAACCAGCAGCCAGCGCCACTGAGTTAAGGACAGGCTGAGGTGGCGCACACCACCTAGGAGCTCAATCTTAAGTGTGGGTCCCCCAACACCAGGGCTCAAAGTGCAGGTCCCACCCCAGCCACCCCAAGATTCCCCTTCAGTGGGCCTGAGTGCTTGTGACAGGCATGACCCCAGGAGACTGTTCACACTGTAAGAAGCCAGCCCCGTGGTACACTGGGCCAGACAATCAAAGGAGAGCTGCCCTTGAGGATGGGCTGGGTATGTGCCAGCACTAAGGACACCCTACCCTCTGAGGAGGTGGGGCTTGCTCAGTGGCACCTCCAACTCACACACAGAGTTTCCCTTTGGGGGCCAGGGAACACTTCGCTGGAGAGGAAAGGTCCTAGCTTGGCCCTGGGTCCTCCTGCCCTACTTCATGCAGTGCTAGGAGGGCCATAGCCCCAGCAGCCCACGCCAGCCTCTCATGTCTACTTGCTCCTGATGGCACCTAATGCTGACCTATATCCACCTAGTCTTCCATCAAGAAGGACCCAAGGCTTGGGCCCTGGGGAGTGGTCTCCCCAGAAAGGACTTTATAGCTGAACCTATCAAGAGAGACTCAAGACCCAATTCTGAGAAGACGAGGTGCCAGGTGTCTCACAGCTCAGAGGACAAAGTATCCACTCTGGGCCAAGCCACAGACGTCAGAGAGCCCCAGCCAAGTGGTCTCACTTCCTGGACACTGCCCCAATGCTCAAGCCCCTGCCTCAGGCTCATCCTCAGCCACTAACTTTCACTGCTCTGTCCCCATAACCCTGCCTCTCAGCGAGGGAGTGCTCAGGACACCAGGGGTGCATGGCTTTTAGGCTCCCTGCCAGCAGCTCGCAGCAGCATTTCTCTCCCCCAGGTAGCTTCCCCACCATCAGAAGTCCATCAAGCCCAGACAGCCACCCTCTCATGCTCCAAGGGGACAGGGTCACCAGGCCAAAGGGCAGACCACGTCCTCCCTCCCTGCCTCCCAGCAGGCCAGCCTCCCCACCATGCAGGATCAGAACTGTGCTTTGGTGCAGGGACGCAGGCTACTCACCTCAGCCCTGCAGAGCAGCCCTGTTAGCACAGCATCACGGACAGCCCACCCCAGCCCTGGCAACAGCACCCACGGAGTAAGCTTCCCACCCTCGGGGCAGAGACCTGGCTCCCTGGAGTGGGCAGATGGGGTAGCAAGGAAGGCATGCGGTGGGTGTGAGTGTGGAGAGGCCGACACACTTGGTGCAGGCAGTCTGGCTGCAAGTCAGGCCCATAGGCTCCTCACCTGTTCATTGAGGGCAATAACCCCCTCCCATGCGTAGGTGAAAACCCAACAAGGTCACATAGATAAGCGGCTAGCACCACTCCCTACTTGGTGTTTACCAGCGCTCTGTGTCACCCTGTCTCCCTCATGTGCACTGCCAGAGTTGAGACATACTCCAGCTGGCAAGCGTTCCAGCAGCCAGCTGCCCCAGAGCTCGTGCCTCCCGGCTTTGTCACCATGTAGGAGGACCCCTGGACCAGCTTTGGCCTCCTTCTACACAGAGGGGCTCCCCTGCCTCCCAGGGCCCTGAGCCAGGGGATCACCCACCTGCCGACTAGCCACCCTGTATTGCAAGTTCCTAGTTCTCACTTGGAGTCCTCTTGCTGGGGCTTGTTGCCCACTTGCTCCAGGCCCCTCTTAGCAGAGACCACCGTCCTCATTTCCCAACTGCTTCTCCCTCCACACTTATACCCTCTGGCCCTGCCCCTCCCTCTTCCCTTCAGGCCTCTGAGCTTGGGCAAAGGAACCTTCAGGAGGCAGAGCCCAGAGGCCCTGGGCAGAGCAACTCTATGGCAGCACTCCAGAGCAGGCTGGCCCGCAGCATGGGATTAGCCAGTCTGCATGACAGGCCAGCCCCTAGTGGCTGCAAGGCCCAGACACCAGGCTTGGGGGATGAGGACACTGTGGCCTCTGTAAGCGGATCTGACAGTGTGCACCCACTCCCGTGCCACCATGGTTACCCTCCTGCTCAGCTCTCCATCTGTCCATCTGTGGATGGGCATTACATACCTTCTCAGGGCACTTACAGGCAGCAGCCCTGCTCTGTGGCCCAAGCACCGGCCCACCTCCAAAGCCTGGGAGCTAAAGTCTAGATGCCTTGGTCAGACATTCCAGGGCCTTCCGAATGGTGTTCCCATTGTCTCCTCTTGCTGCCCCACTGCAGTACCCTGCAGACACTCTGAACTCCCAGAAGCTCCTGAGCCCATGTCTTATCCCTCCCGGCCTACACACATGCTGCTATCTCTGGCTGAAGCAATGTGCCTGTTTGCAGGCACCTGGCAAATGTCACCGGCTCCAAGAAGCCTTTCCTGACTGGCCCGAGTCCTCCCCCCTTCCCGCTCTCCCCTCTGGCCATTGCATCAGCATAGGCACGAGGTCACTCCTGAGCGGACCAGCTCCATGAGGACCACCCACCTGTGTCCCTGCATCTGGCCACAGTACATGCTCAGAGATGGATGAGGGAGGATGGATGGAGGGATGGAGTGATGGATGAATGAGCAAGGCAGAGGCTCTGGGCCAACCTCTAGGGCCAGATTCTGGCTCTTGAGGTAGAGACATAGCCCATAGGATGAAGGAAGAAGACCATGCACACCCCAAAAGAACAAGAGAGAGCTGGGCCGCGGTGGCCGCGGCTGACCTGGGAGGGGGTGGTCACGCTGATCTCAGGGACAAACGTGTCATCAAACAGGCTGAGGATCTGCTCCTGCTTGACCTCCTTGGACGGGGTGTGTTTGGGAGGCGGAGGGACTGGTGGCCCTTTCCGGAGCTGTGGGTCGGAGGGTGAGGGGCCACACGGGGAGGCGCAGCAGAGCATGGAGGGCAGGGCAGACAGACAGAGACAAAGCCACAGTTAGTCACACCCCAGGCTGTGCCCCCCACCAGGCAACTGAAGACACAAACCAAGAGGAATCACTGCTGCCCAAGGCACAGACACCAGGACCACAAGGCCACCCTTAGAGGGAGACTGAGGAAGGAGGTCCAGAAAACACTGTGCCTAGAGAGAGAGAGAGAAAGAGAGGGAACGACAGAGGGGGGAGGAAGTGAAAGAGAAAGACAGGGAGAAGACAGAAAAGAAGAGGAGAAAAAAGGGAGAGCATGCGAACTGCCCAGGGGCCGCTGGAGGAGCTGGGCTGACACCCAACTGGGTAAGACCCTATAGAGAGAAGCCGTAGCTGAGGAACAGCCTCCCTCCCCACCTGGGCTCTCTGCCCCTCAAGGACTCTCTCTGCACCTCCTGCTGGAGGAACTCTGGCCCACCTGTCACCCGTGGAGGCTGGCACAGAGGTGGAGCCAGCGCTCGGCACAGGGCTGGGCAGGATGGCCACACACTTGCCCACTTGGGGGCCTCAGGCAACTCGGGAAACCCCGGCAAGTCTGGGTTTCCTCAGATGTCAAGCTGGGGTGGGCATCTGCCTCAGAGTGGTTGTGAGGATTTAATGTATGAAAACGTAGAAAGTGCTGGCATCGTGTCGGGCCCAGGGCAAGTGCTATTCAAGTGTGGGCTCTTGTCACACTCAGCATTGTTATCCTAATCAGCTGCAGGACCAGAGTGCTGCTGCCGGGAACTGATGCTTGGGGAAGCCTGACAGCTCAGACAGGGCCGTGGGCCAGCGCCTGGCGACCACCCGTGGAAGGGATGCTGGGCTTTTGGAAGCCCGGCGTCTGTCTCCTTCGGCCACCTCACACTCCCCTCACTGAGCCCTTTCCGCTGCTGACCATGTAAAGGTCCCACATGGCCCCATGCCAAGAAAGAAGGTGAGGAGGAGGACATGCAGCCACCTCTGCAGATCCAGATGCTCTGGGGCGGAGGGCCCTGGAGCCTGTATCAGAAGGAAAGGAGGATGGAGGCATTAACAGCCCCGAGGAGAGGATGCTGTGGGGGACAGAGGGAGATACACGGCCACAGGTGCCCTGAGAGAAGACAGGACCATGAGCCCAGTGTTGGGGACAGAGGACCGAGAAAGAGGGGGACACCAGTAATGCAGGAGGATGAGGAGGGTGGGGAGGGTGCCTACCTGAGATGGGGACTTGGGGAGGGCTGCCCCGGCTGCTGCCGAGGGCTCAGGCTCGTGGTTGACTCTGATCTCCGGGGTGGCGGCTGGGGAGCCATCTGGCGGAGGCGAAGGGCTCTTGTTCCCTTTTGCAGGGGCGTTGTCACTGTGGAGGTAAGACCAGAGAGGAAGCCCAATGGAGGGAGACCACTGCTTACAAGACGGACCATGCGAATCCACAGGTGTGCACGTGCACACGACCCCAGGAATCGCTGTGTGAAAATGCGTGTGCATGTGTGCACGAGGGCATGTCCATCAAGAAGGGTGTGTGTGAACAGGAGGGTGTGGGTGTGTCCACAGATTCACTGTGAAAATGTGATGTCCATGTGTGCGTGAGGGGTGCCGCAGGGCTTGCATGTGAGAAATGCACGTGTGTGTACCAGAATGGGTGGAAACGAAGGGGCGTGGGCACAGCCCCTGCCCTACAGACAGTGGTAGCCTGCGCGCAACTCCAGGCTGGAGGCCTCCGATCTCCAGTCAGGCCACTCCCCAGGTCGCCGCCAGGCTCCACCGGGGAGCCCAGCTCCGCAGCAGGAGAAAGCCGAACACCCTAGAGGCAGATGAGTTTCGTCCCACACGTCACGCAGCAGCCTCCGTGCCCAGGCTGGGCCCCACTCCTCGGCCGGCCCCCCCCTTCCGTCTACTCACACCAGGACACCCCCCTCTGCCCCGCTTCCAGGCTCCACACGCCTCAGCACTCCCCCCCGTCACCGCAGTCACCATCGCCACACTTTGCTCCCCACATGCCCTTTGGAGGAGAAGGAAAAAAGCCAACCAGAGGCCACAGGCAGAGTGGCTGCCGGGGAGGAGAAGGTGAGGTCTCCCAGCCTCGCGGGAGGTATAGAGAGCAAGAGCAATGGTGGGTGTAACGGCCACTCGGGTGCAAGGGGGCAGAAAATAAAAACACCACTTGTTCTTGCATCAGGGAACTCTAGAACCCGTGAAGACAGCCACTGGCCACAGGCAGCTGTTTACATTTATATCTGAATTAAGGGGAAATAAAAGTGCAGCTGCTCAGTCACACCGACCACATTTCAAGTGCTCACCAGCCTCCTAAGGTGAGTGTCTGATGGGGCAGCTCTGGAAGGATGCAAAGAAGCTACTGACCACATCACCCGGGGTGGGGCGGGCGGCAGGCTTGTGAGGGACACCGCGCTCCCTCCTCTTCTCTACTGAATTTGTGTTTCATGGGAATGTATTTGCCTCCCTAAGGCATCTAATAAACACAGTACGAGCACACACACATACACACACACACGCACACACACACACACACGCACCATTTTTTAAAAACTACCACTGTGCTAACAGAGCCCATCCTCTGAGCCTTCCTGGCTACATTCCCCTGTTCCCCTTCTGGCCTGGGCCACAGCCAGGTGGATACACTGTGGCACAGAGAGAATATGCTCGGCTGAGCTCAGGCCGTCTGCCCCCTCATCCTTCCCCTGACAGCCCCTGAGCCCCCAGGCCCCCCAACACACACGTGACACAGCACAGCCCCGCCGCCCTCCCCGCAGCACCACACACGGGACGACAGGTTAGGGGTTAGTGGCACCCGCAGAGCAGGGCACCAGGCGCATGCACAGGGGCGGCCGGCCAGGCTGCTGGCCTCAGACACCCCCACAATGCAGCACGCAGTGCTGGTACCTGTTCTTCTTTCTGAGCAGCCGGGAGAGCAGTTTAGTTTTCTTTCTGTGGGAACGGACGGGACGCAGAGGCCTTCATTTTGGGGAAATGCCTGATTCAAGGCTGGCCTGTTCCCTCATCAGCAGCCCCTCTGCTCAGAGGAGTGCAAAGGGGCAAAGCCTCCCTTAATCCTCAAAGGCCATGAAGAGGGCCTGACCCTGCTCTGAGAACTCCATTGCCCAGTCCTGGGGACCCCACCAGCCTTGGCATGCTGTCAGGTACCCCCGGATGGATGGAGCTGACAAAAGAAGCAAAAGCAGCAGCCCCCAAACAAGGCCTGATGAGCTGGGGGAGGACTGCAGGCAGCCCACCCGGCCTGCAGCTTGGCACACAGGGCTCTGGGACCCTAGGGTACCACCGGGGGTGGGGGCAGCTGGCCAGCGTGGGGCCTGGGACACAGAGGCAATCAGGGCCTCTCCTTGGTGTAAAGGCCGTTCACAAAGTTCCACTTTCTTCCCTGTGGGCTCGACCGGCCCCTCCCACAGGAAGGATCCAGCCCCTGCACTGCCTAGGAGGGCTGCTGCTTGCCCATCCTGAAGAGGGGCAGCACCATTCACTACATACTTTCTTAGTGCTAGGTAACAGCCCAATCACCCAGGACACAGATATATTCACCAGTTGTACAGAGAGGAAAAGTGAGGTTCATCCGCGCTCTCCACATGGTATCGCCACAGGTGCAAGCCGAAAAGGAAGGGAAATCCCAGACTCGCTATTGTTTCCCCTGAGGGCAGTCAGAGGGCCAGGCACTTTCCCCCCTCCCTCCTGGTTTCCCCTCAGGAAGCAGGAATCTCCTTGCAGCTGGAGAGACCCTGGGAGGCCAGGCCTGGCCAAGGAACAAGGATGCTTTTGTGGGTGTGCACAATGCCACCCTCCAGGGACTCAGGCTTCCTAAGAGCTGGACAGGGTAAAGGCGGCACTGCATCCTGCTGGAGGAGGAAGGCTCACCCTCCAGGGGGCTCTGCACCAGCACGGAGTCATCCAGTCCCCAGGCCCCACCTCCAGAGCTCCACAGGCACCCTGGCTGTTCTGGTTTCCCAGGCAGGGAAGCCAGGCCAGGGTCCAGTGATCCACAGACTACCCAGGAGTGCTGTGCTCCTTCCCTGATGGGACAACACCAGAGGAATGTGGGGTGCCCCTACCTGTCCCCCTGATCACAGAAAGGCCAAGCCAGAAAGGACAAACCCCCAGGGGGTAGGAACTCGAGTCTTGCCCCGGGCTGGCCCTGGCCTGGCAGGAATGAACGAACCCCAGGACCCTGCCCCAGACCACACCTCCCCTACCCACCTACAGCCAGAGGGCAGTGGGCAGCACACACCTGGGCTGGGCCTTGACTGTGAAGGTGTTGCTCCCATGCTGCTTCTCCAGGCTGACCAGCACATCGTTGAGGTTCTGGTTGAGCTGCAGGAGGGACAGCCAGTAGGTGGGGAACAGCCCCACTCTCCCCAGTAACATCCCTGCTTCTCCCCACATCTTAGCCCCTTCCTTGCACCCCTGTCCCCTACCAAGAACAAGCTTTCCAGACTGCCAGAGGTTTCACCAAAAGCACAGGCAAGACAAGAGGTTTATCCCATGTATACAGTGATTCTCACTACTGAGAAAATTTTCCTCTTTTGCTTTGGCCATCAGGAAGCTCAGAATGAATTTTCTTCTTACTTTACATAAATGTTTCCTTCCCTCAAATGCCTCTGTTTTTGTTTTGTTTTGTTGTTTTAATTTTTCGTAAGTTGTCTCAAATCTTTAAAGGGAGGAAGGAAAAGAAAGGGAAGACCCGAAAGGCAGGAAACTATAGTCAAGGTGGTGACTCAGGAGTGCCCCAAGCTGCTTTTCCTCCTCCAGCCCTGAGCCTGGAATCCACTACCATCACTTCATTCCTCGGGGCCCAGGAGACAGATTCAGACCCACCGACCATACAGCACAGGGGCTGCCAACACTGGGTTTCTCCAAGTCTGCTTTGCAGCTTAACTGTCAGCTAAGTTAAAATGGAAATAATACAGGAATTTAAGCTAATTCACAGTCCTTCTTATACCAGATTCTGGCAGGTAAAGCAGACGTGTTACATTGTCTTAAGAAATATAAGAAAAAAATTGAGAAAATTCTAGTATTTTATTGATTATTTGCCTATGAACTAAGAAAGGGTGCCACCATTCTCTGACGCCCAGCTCCCTGGGCCACCATTGCCTGAGAACACATTGACCACTTGAGAGGGGCTGGCTCTGTCCAGGCAGGAGGGGTAAGATGGGGACAGGGAGGGGGCAGGGACTGGGCCCCAGTGGGTCTGGACACTCTAGAACAAGAGCTCCTGGAGGGCAGGGCTCAGTGGCTCCTCCCCAGGGCCCGGAGGTAGCACTGTGGCCACTAGTGTGTACCAAACCCCAGCCGGAAAGAGGGAGTTTGGCCCTGGCCCTTGGCAGCAGAGCATGGCCCAAGGGTCTGAGTCCCATAAGGGTCACCAGGACCTACCTTACTCATCTCCTTGTGGAAGTTCTCCTCCAGGCCTGCAATGCTCTGAAACGTGTTGACATAGAAACCTACCCGGCTACGGGAGGAGGAAGGGAAGCGAACACAGGTCAGTGCAGGCAGCCCAGGTGAGCCACACACACACTGATACACCTCCACCCTCACCAGAGACACACACCGCGGGAGGGCATGGGGCACAAGGCACATGAGACACCTTGGGCAGCCTCGGGAGGGAGGCCGAGGCTCTCAGCCCCACTGCCTCCCGAGACTCACCTATTCCACAGGGATGGCAGCTCTTCCTGCAGATCCACGTTCATCTCCTCAAACACTTTCTGGGCTTTGATGAGCTCCTCCTCTGCCTGAGGGGCAGGACTGGTCATTCCCCTCTGCTCGGCCTCGGCCTCGGCCCCAGCTTAGGCCTAGCCAAGTCTACCCCACAAGACCTGCTCCCCCTAACCTCCCACCCCATGTGCTAGGACCAGGGCTCTGGACATAATGGGGGTGGACCAGATGAGGATGCTCAGGGGGACTTCCCCATGTAGCTCCTTGTTCACCTATAGCCAGGTCTGTAGAATCTGCTACAGGAAGGGGAAAGCAGAGAGCACCCATGGCCAAAGGAAGAGCCCCACCTCCTATCAGGCCTAGATGGGCCAAGAGGGAGATGAGCAGGGCACAAGAAGGCTTGAGACAAGGGGCCCGGGAGCCGGGGCACCGGAAGGGGGCAGAGGCAGAGCCCAGCCCCAGCCCCAGCCCAGCAGGGACCCTGCCCACTTACAATTGAACCCCTCTCAGGCTGAGTGTTAGTCTACTGCCCAGCCCCCTTGGCCTTGGCCTTGCTGTCCCTGCCTGAAGACCCCTTTCTCAAAGCCAGTCCCACTCAGCCTCAGCCTCCTCCCTATAGGATATGGCAGCAGTATGTCCTGTCCCTCCCCCTCTTTCCTCTGTGACCTGTCCCCACCAGCTGGAAGCCAGAGGCAGCAGATCAGACACATCCAGGAAAGACGGGGAAGGATAGGGAGAGGGCAAGGCCAGGGGAGGAGGGAGCTAGGCTGTTGGGCAGGATGCCTGTGCTCACCCCCAAAGCCCTCACCCTACCCCTACCCAGGCAGGCCCAGCACCCTCCGGGCCTACTCACACCCACCAATAGGTGTCGCTAAGGCCCCATCTCACCACTGAAGACTGGGGAATAAGACCTCAGGCCCCAGGAAAGGCTAACAGTGAGTCACAGAGAAGGGGCTCAGCTCAGCTAGCTCATTTGGAGGGTGCTGCTGGAAACAGTGACTCAGTGGGTGACTTGGAATCAGGGTCTGAGTCACAACCCAGGAACGTGGCAGGCCCCTCCCTGGAGAACACTTCCTGCCTTCCTGCCAGCAGCCTTACATTTTCAGGCCTTCTGGCAAAGGCAGCCAACCGGCCAGAACTCCAAACTGCCACAAAGCCCACGATTTCCCCAGCCCACCCAGCTGTCCTGTCTGACTTCAGGCACCAGGTCAACCCCAGGCAGCCTCATATCCCTGCTGTTCCTGGCCAGCCCAACCTCAGTGATGGGGGTGGGGCTAGAGGAGAGAGGGGCCACCTGACTCCTAACTACAATTACCTTCAGGTTGTTGGAACTTGCTAGAGTGAACATAAGCTCCTTGCCTAACTTTTTAAAATCTAATTTAAAAATTAAAGGTAGAAAAGGAAGAAAAAATAAAAGAAAAAAAAAAGAAACATCTGTGAACATGCATGTCTTAGGCAGCTCCTGAAGAGGATCAGATCCAGCAGGCCATCCATGCCTTACCCCACTGGGCATCCCAGTACTGACTGGAGGCCACTAACATGAGTCTGTAGCACCCACAGAATCAGTGACTCTCACAGATCGAACCACAAGTGTGGGCACTGTCACATACCCCTCCAACCCAACTGCCAAGGGTCTGGCTCAAGGCTCATGTTCCCCAGAAACCTGCTTTGGTCCAGCTGCCATACCCCAGAGACCACTTCTTAATGGCGATTCAGCCACTGCCCCGTGATGCTGGTCCTAACCCCTCAAATGAACGTCAGTGACAATGACAGTGACAATGGCATAGCAGCTCACGGCTATAGGCCAAGCCTGATTCTCGAGCCCAGCAATGCTGCAAAGAACAGAGTAGCTCAGGTTTCAGCTTTCCTGGAAATCAGGGTCTGTTCATTATTCCTTTTGGATCACATGTTCATGTTCTTCATGTTCTGGCTGTTTCAGGAGGACCTGAGGTGGTAGGAAGTGGGGGAAGAGCTGTCCATTGTTGGAACCCCAGTGGCTTGGCTACATGCTAATGGACACAGAGAGCAGAGGCCAAAACCAGCCTGCTTATAATGCCCAGGGCACCAGGATCCTGCAGGCAGGTTTTAGGGGACTGTGACCAGTACAAAGAGCAGTTTAGAATGAGCCCAGGGGATATGTGGTGCTGATCGGCTTGAGAGATCACAGCTTCACCAGGTCACACTCTCTCCCCAAAGTCAAGTCTGCCAGCAGGGCAGTGCGAGGACCCTAACACCCCAGCTCACAGCCAGCCAGCTGCCCATGGGAACTCAGAAGGCTCCCCAGCTTCCAGCCAGGTGTGAGGCAGGGTGGGAGCAGAAAGACGATATATGCCAATAAAAATTGGGTCCAAATGGGAAAGCCAATTTGGCCGAAAGGCCAAACATCTGCAGTCCAACATCCAAAAAATGAGATCATGTGCTTTAGCCTCCCTAGTGGCTCCCCTGAGGTGCGGGTGTGGGGCCCTCCCAGCAGGATCCCTCACCCACATCCATCTCAGGAGTCCCAAAACAGCCAGAGGCATTACCCACCAGCTTCACAGTCTCCCAGGGGCAACAAAAATTTTCACCTGGTCTCTCACCAAACCCATTTCAGGGAAAATTATGCAGAAACCCTAGCTTTGGGTCAATGGCCCCATCCTCCAGCCAGAAGTCCTGAACTCTACAGGCAGGGCTGGTGCTCCAGTCTCTAGCTCCTCCTTCACCTCCCACAGACCATCTCCCCCAGACCTTGGAGATCCAGGGTCACCCCAGCCTCAGAGTGGGGCTACACCGACTCTAAAGTCAGCTCATAACTTTGGCCTAAAAGAAATCAAGCAGCAAGTCAGGTAAGAAATTGGGCCGTGAGCCCATGCTGAGCCCAGAGCTCCCCTACCACAGGCATTCAACACATGTGGGTTGAAGGTGATGAAATCAGGAGATGGCCTAGAAGAAAAAGGGGCAGCTGCCCCAAGAGAAACCCAACCTTGTGGGTCAGGGCTCCGTTGTCCACCCGTACCTGAGGACCATGATGGGGTACTAGAGTCCTATCGAGTTTCACTGGAGACCATGAGGCCACCTCTCCCAGGGTGTATCTGGTGATCCTTGGCCACACTGCTCACCCAGAACCCAGCCAATCCCAAGGGCAGAAGGCTGAGAAGAGTGTATTGCCAGGGTATTAGATCAATCAGGGGTTTTGTACAAAGAGCCTCCTCTGAGAAGCCCTCTAGAACCACTGTGGTGAATAGTCTGCCCTTTATGAAACTCCCAAAGAGCAGACCCTCTAGGCCCCAGGTCTCAGCATCCCAGCCATGCTTGAAGAGCTCAGCCAGAGTTCCCCGTCCAAGAGCACCACGAGGGCCCACAGGTCCCAAGGGTCCCTATGAGCTGAAGATTCTGCCTCTCTGAGCAGGTTTGTCTCTTCAGTAAATTCTGGATAGCCTCACAGCTTTTATGAGGCTTGAAGGACAACACGTGTCAGGACAGGAGCCCTCCTGAGAGGACAAGTGGCTCGGAGGCTTTCCTGTGTTCCCAGAGGCTAGGATTTCAGAGAGTCTCAGGACTCCAGAGACCCAGGCACAAAGCAACAGACTAGGACCCACCCCTGCTTAACCGGGGCCCCAAGCTTCTCTCAGCCCCCCTCATTTGGCCTGGGGTCTCTTCCAAAGCAGGAGCTCTCTCAGCAGAGACATCTGAAAACGGCCCTGCCCCCCAGCCCAGGAAACAGACTGAGCCCTCCCCCACCCTGGGCAACGCAAGACAGGCGCCCAGCGCCAAGGACAGGACAACAGACCAGAAGGCGCCAGCACGTGCAAGGTTAGATGCCAGTGTCACCTGATTTCGGAGCAGGTTAGTTTGAGCTACGAGATGAGCCTGCAGTTTGCCTTGGCACCACTGGGGGGCGGCTTTCTCAAGCAGCGAGACAGGCTGGGGGTGGGGAGAGGAGGTCACGGCAAAGGAGAGTGGAGAAACAGGAGGGAGATGGGGAGAGAGAAACAGAGACACAGATATTAAACAAGTCCAAGTCCAAACGTCCCAAATGCAGTGACAGACAAGCCGGTCACCCCTCCAGGGGGCCAGCCCCCAGCAGGTAAGGCCCTTGAGGCTAAGAGGATTAACGGGATTCCTGGGTAAGGGGCAGAGAAGGGGTGAACTCCAACTGCAAAGCAAAATGTAAGAATGTTAGCAGGGACAGTGGGGCTCAGCAAGCTTGGTCCTGCCACACGGCGGGGTGGGGAGGGGGATCCACTCTCGGCCCCTCACTGTGAACAGTGTGACCAGCTCAAGCCCTGTGCCCTCTGGCCTGTTCCAGCAGAGACAGGGTCACATCAGATCCCATGACAGAATTCTACTCAGAGTATGCCAGGTCGGGTGGGGCTGTTCCAGTTAAACCCAAGCCAGGCCTGTTCTCATCCTGGAAAGTGGCCGCAGAGCAGGGTGGAGGGCCCAGGGCCCAGGGCAAGCACCAGACGGTGGGTGGGCGGTGCGCCTTCAGCCAGCTGCTCACAGGGGCCTTTCCCCGACCCCACTCTGCTACCTGGGCACATCACCAGCGGTACACCCACCTGCAAGGGGGTTGAGGATTCCAGCCACAGGGGAGCAGTGATAACCCACGGGGCAAAGGGGTAGAGTGGGCACAGCACAAGAGGAAGGTCCCTACCCCTCTGAAGACTCTCCCCCAGCCCCGCCCCCCAGCTCTTACCTTGGCAATCTTGGCTTCATCCTTCTTTTTGGCGGTTTGGAGGGACTCATAATGGTGCCGGGCACTGTCATAGTCCACCAACTTCCGCCCTCGCTTGGCAATGCGTGACTGGAAGACATGGAGGTGGGAGAGGGGGCTGAACAGGGCCTGGCACCCAGGCTGAGATGTCGACCCAGGCTGGGCTCAGAGAAACTGGGTTGTGGGCACTGGGAACTGGATAAAGCCGAAGGGCCAGGGCAGTTGACCCAGGCTCAAGAAGTGCCTCTGATGCATGCTTGAAACAGGCTCCCACATGTCTGGTGGCCAAGAGCTTGCCCCTTCCAGGCAGCCCATGACCTCAGGAGTCCTTTCTTATACAGAGGCCAAACCAGTTCCTTCGATACTCAGCCATGTTTGCCAGTGCCCACCAGCCAGTATTGTATGGGACAAGCCTCTTCCCTGGCCTGGCCCTCGGCTCCTGGACCCCAGGCTTCTCTTCTCCAGGCTACCACCATCAGCCTCCCTTGCACACTCCCCATCAGGCATCTTGAGGAGCCCAAGGCACCTGCACTGGGTGGACACAGTGCAGCATTGAGCCAGACCCCCAGCGTACAAGAACTAGCATCACAGTCACCACCTGGCCTCAACACCTCTACTTCCATGTCTGAAGCACCTGGGCCCATCGGCTGCAGGGGAGGGCACCCATTAGGCACACGTGCTTAGGCACACGTGCTTAGGCTTTACATCCCCTTAAAATGCCTTATATGACCCTATAGTCACTCCACAGTGACGCAGCCATGCAGACATACATGCACCATGGGGTCTCTTCCTACAGTCTGGAGACCCAAAGGTACAGGGCCCCAGAGCTCTCTGCTCAGAAAGGCTCAGGCTGGGGGGCTGGTCTCAGAGGGAGCATCCCTGGAGGGATGAATTGCCAGTGCCTGAGCCAGTCCTCGGCTGACCCCTTCCCCCCATCCCTCTGTCCCTGCTTCACTCCAGTGCACAGGCTATCAAGCCAGAACAGGACAGATCTACAGAGTGCCTCTCACCTTGATGTCAGGGAACTGGCCCAGGTATGTGTCCATAGTCAACAGCGCCTGGTCCACCAGCTTCTGGTGGTAATCCAGCCAGAGGAGGTCGTTGTTCTGAAGGAGGTGAGAGCTCATGAGTATACAGCCAGGGGGGACTGGGCCACACCCAGTCCCCAGCACTCTCCCCCAGAGACCTGGGGTCCACTTGAGCCCCGCTGCTTCCCAGCAGAGAAGCTTCTCAGAACCTCAGGTTCCTTGGCTGTAAAGTAGAGGTGATAATTCCTGCCCTATAGCCTCTCCCAGGGCAACTATAAGGAACAGATAAGCCCAGGGTTGGTAGGGTCAGGAAGGGGAGGTGACTTGCCCAAGGGCACACAGCCTGTGAATGCCCAAAAACCAGATGGGCTTGTCCAAGAGGGTGAGGCAGGGCAGGATGGGCCAGCAGCTGAGACAAGAGGGTCCTCTGGGAAGGACGGAGGTCACCTGCCTCACGCTCACCTCAGCTATCTTGTTTGCTTCATCCCTGCCAGGCCAGTCGGGCTCGTACACCTCCTGCAGACATTCATTCAGTTTCTTGGAGGCTTCGTGCATGGCTGTGGGGCAGAAGGGCCATGCTGCAGCCAGGGCCATGGGGGATGAAGACGGGCAGGAGGGCCCAGGGGGTATGTGGTCCCCAATGCCAGCGTTCACCCCTCCACCACAAACCCTGGTCTCCATCCCAGCTCTGCACCCATCAGCTTTAGGTGGGGCAAAGGCCCCTCAGTGTCCCTTGAAGCCCACCTACCCAGACCAGGTCTGCCCCAGGAGCCTGCCTGCCCCTTACCCTTGACTGAGGCCAGGTAGGTCCGGAGGTCCTTCTGTAGTCGAGTGCCCTCAGTCTGCAAAGAGAAAGACAAGACCAGGGTGAGGGCCTACTTGTACAGGACCCTGTCCTTCCTGTACTCTCAGGTGGACAAACGCAGGCTGCTCCCAGTAGCCCCCACATATCAGCTGTCCTCATCAGGGCACTGGCAGGACTAGAGAAGACAAGACATGTGCATCAGAGCGCCCCTCAGAGCACAGCAGCTACTGCCTCTCTTGTCACAAACATGTACTAAGCATCCAGCACTTCTCAGCACCATCCCTGCCTCAGGAGCCAAGGGATATTCATCCAGAGATTGTCAGCACCTGTCTCTTCCAGGAACAGTTCTCAGCCCTATAAGGAAGGTAGGAAAATAGTGGGCCCCACACACACCCTAAATAACACACTGGGGCGCAGGCTGAATGACACACATGTACAGTGGGATGGGCATATGCCAGGTCTGCCCTCAGGCAACCACGGGCCAGGTGGCCAATGAGCACAGGACACAGGACTAGAACACCCTGCCCCAAAAGCTTAGGCCAGCAGGCTCCCAGTGCATCATGCCAGGGACAGAGGATGGCCTGCAGAGGAGGCTGCAGAAGGTGAAAGGGAATTGCTTAGCCAGGCTGCAGAGAAGTGAGGAGTGCATGCCCAGAACTCTCAGGACACTGGCCCAGCCAAGGGGGAGGATTTGGATGTAGGAAGAAAAGATTGGCCAGGGGACTGGGCCAAACGGTGAAGGCCCTGAGCTCAGGAGGTAGCTCCAGGGACTTGCTGAGACAGCAGGACCGGCAGAAAGGATGGACCCATGGGCAAAGCCTCAGTCCCTCTGTGTTATCAATACCATACGAGGCAGGAATTGGAAAACTGAGCCCCAGGTGAGAGAGGGGGTAAATAGGCTGAGATAACAGGTGATATATGAGACCACCAATGGTGAGACCCTGGAGTTTCCAGAAGTCATGTGCAGAGGGGGACAGAGCACACACAGGCTTTGGGGTTATGAAGACCCAGCTCTCTAGCTCTGACCCTCACTAGACATGTGACCCTAAGCAAGTAACTGAACCTCTCTCTTCATCTGTCAGCTGGGGTGAATGACTCCCACGGCAGACCACAACCTAATGTGTGCTCAGGGAACAGCACAAGTGAGCCAGCCCAGGCCCTAGCCTTGCAGGCCAGTTAAGGGGGATGAGCTTTATGCCGAGGATGGTGATGTGAGGCAGTAGGGGGACATGAGGAGAGAGGGCTTCTGGACATCAAAGGATGGCAGTGCCAGAAGCTGACTTCTACAGGGAAGAGCACCCTCCTGGTGTCTCCCTGCCTAATGCTGCTCACATCCTTATTTTAGATCCCCTTGCCCTTGCCCTTGCCCTGGTGGAGGGCCAGATAGACACAGACCCAGCAAGCAGCCGTAGTCCCACTCCTGGCCTGCCTGTGCCTCTGCAGGAGAAAGGCGGTCTCCACTCCAGCTGAGGACAAGCAGGGACACACCAGCCTTCTAGGCTCACCCAGGTACCCTCAAACCTCTCCTGTACCCCCCATCATCAGACTCTCCTTCCTCACAGCCAGGGCCTGCTCCTCCTCTCCCAGTGTCCTCAGAGCATCACACACCAGCTGTCCGCCGGGCTGGCTCTTTCCCTGCACGTCTCTCTAGCATCACTGTCCTCACCTAATAAATGAGGGAGCAGAGAGGTTCAGGGACTTGCCCAGTGTTATACAGACAGGTAGAACTGGTGGGAATCCCCACAGCCCCTGTTTATGATGATTAATGCTTCCAGAAGAGAGTAGAGGTGTTGTGCAGGGAGAGTTTCAGGGCAGTACATAAGATGTATAATTCGAAAGAAAAAAAAAAAAAAAACAAGCGGTGGCGGAAAGGAAAAAAAAACCCTCTCCAAAATTCCTTCAATCCCCCCAGACCACAGAGTAGCCTATAGAACCCTGACCACACAGAATTCTGAGGAACTTCAAAGTTTAAGGCCTACTGATTAGAGATTAAAGGAAGAAACAAAGGCCAATCCACAGCATCCAGATCTCTCTGGATTTCCATCAGGGATCGGATGTGGACCGTGTAGGCCTGGGAATGAGGAAGGGCCTGTCCTACTCTTTCAGTGATAGAGATGAGGATTCAAACATGTTCATGATGTGATGCTAACACATTCATCTGATGCCACAGAATCTTCCAAACTTGGTTTCCCTTCCTGCCAACCATCCATCATCTCACTCCCCTCCCCACCATCCTTTGAGCACCTGTCTACACTGCACCCCGAGGAACGGGTCTCCCGTAGGGCGGGTTTCTGTGCTTGCCCAGGCCTCAGGCCGTACCAGGGCCCCTTGTGCCTCCCAAACAAGGCCACACTGTGAGCCGGCACACTGGACACAGACGAGCAAGGGGCCGCGTAGAGCTCTGCCTCACTCATGTGCCAACTGCAGCTGGGCCCCTCAGCCGAACTCCCGAGTCAGTGCCTAGGATCAGACATAGCCGTGCCCCACGCAGCTGCCTCCTGCAGGGCTGCATCCAGGCGGCCAACACAGAAGCTGTGTGTTTGCTCCAAGCCGGCTCCCTTGGCACCCCCACCCAAATAAGGCGCCCGAAAGAAAACTCTATGGAGGTTCCTGGGGCTTTAACACACTCCTAGCAGAGCAACTAGGGGAAAACTAAAGTTCTGGATCACAGTCTGGTCTGGACTCAGGGGTCTGGAAGGATACCACAACCCAATACCAACACTTAGTATCACTCCACGGAGGTGGTCTGGCTAGCACCCCACATCTTTGCTCTACATCCCCTCAAAGGGTGCTCCCTGCCTCCTCTGACATCATGGTCTGAAGACCCAAGCCCCCATCTTCCCAGTGGGTGTAGGGGCAGGAACATCCCTCCCGCATGGACTCCCTCTGGCTATAGCTGACTCTTGGCCCTCTGCAGTCAATTCCAGGGGATGTTCACTCAATAGCCAGGGATGCCCTCTTTGAGCAGGCAGGCCCTAAGAACAAGAAAGAATCAGACCTGGCCCACATCAGCAACAGACAAGCCAACAGCAGTAACGTCCCAGGAGGAAGAGCCTGGCTCACACCTCCCTCGCACTGCCCCACAGCTCACCATCCTGGATCCTCTGAGGGGGCCAAGCTCTGTTTCTCAGTGCAGGACAGGAGAGCCAAGGCTAGTGCTGGGGGCAGCCGGGAAGGGCTATGAAACCCACCCCTGTGAGAGCCGGTGACAGCTGGCTCCCCCAGGTTCCATTCCAGCTGCAGAGGCATCATGGGCACCTTCAGTGCTCTTGGAGGCCTTGGACATGAATGAGGAGTAGGGAAAGACCTGGTCCTTCCCAGCCCCAAGTCTGGGCCTATTTGGCCCTCTCCTAGCACAGCAAAGACCCTGACTCTACCCTCCAGCCCTCCTTCCTATTTCCCTTGGTCTATGCCCCGAGCCAGAGCTCCCTCTTCCAGGAAGTCTGTGACCTTGCCAGCCCACACCAGCCCCTTCTCCCAGCTCGCTTACTCCACAAATGCAGCTCTTGACATTTTCTACCTGGCAGCCACACTTCCATTTTGCACAAGCTCCCTAAGGCCAAAGGCCACCCCCACTCACCAGCTGCTTGTTGAAATTCTGGACACACTGTTCAAACTGCTCATCCTTTGTCTCATCCGCCTTCCCCAGTTTCTGGAGGACCTGCCAAGGCAGCAAGAGAAGGGAAGTGTTACCATGAGAAAGAGGGTGGCCAAACCAAAAGTGCCCAGTCACCAATACCACAGATGGCTCCCACCCAGCCAGGATCCTGGAGGCCCTCAGTCAGTATAATGCAGCCCAGGGCACTGGGACCATCAGAAGGTCTCCTGGCTGCTGTAATCCCCAAAAGCAACCTCGAGTCCATCAAGTCTTGAGACCTCCTCATTGTCTACCCGGGGCTTGCCCATTGGCCAAGCAGAGGAGTTCAGGTCAGGCTTGCTGCAGTAACTGAAACCAGGAGAGGGGGCTCCAAAGACAGCTTGAAGGGTCAAGTGCCCCTCCTTATTGATCTCACATTGCACCCGTGAGGGTTCCATCCCCAACTCCGGCAGCTAAAAAGTGAGCTGAGCACAAGAGCAGCCAGGTAGGACAGCCCCACCTCCCTACATGACTCCATTTCCTGGGTCCTCATGAAGACCAGAGGGAGGAGCAGAGCAGCCCTGAGCTGGGAGGTAATCACCCCAGGACACAGAGGGCACCAAGAGGAGGCAGGGATCAGGCTCTTAGTGTCACTAGGAGCCAGCTCGCAATCTGAATAGATTCTCAGATGTGACCTTTTCCAGCTACCCTGCTTCCTTCTCTATGGCTCAGCAGACCATACTGGGCCCACTCTTGGCGTGCACACGCGCACACACACACACACACACACATACACATGGGCTCATGGACACCTGCTCTACTCCCAACTAGAAATCTCAGAGGTGGACTCTCCCTCTGATTAGTCACAACTGTGCTTTCTCAGCTGTGTGGGGGGAGCGGGAGAGGAGGGCACAGGTGGGGAGATGGTTGGGTACAGACAGAGAGACCCCGAGGCCAGAAGAGAGAGAAAGACCTAGAAGAAGGAGGAACTGGATCAGAAGGCTGAGAGGAAGTATGATGAAAGAGAGAGGAGGTGGAGGCAAGGAGGGGTGAGGGAAACAGGGGAGTAGGAGGGTGGGGAAAGAGAAAGATAAGAGATCAGGTGCAGAGAGGGGAAGCTGAGGCAGACATGGGGTGGGTTTGCAGGAAGAGAGGGTGGCAGAGACCAAAATGGAGACAGTGATCCCCCACTTAGAGCACTCCACAGGAAGCAGGAGGATGACACCGAGATGCTCAGCAGAGGCAGTGGCCAAAACCCAAAAAGAATGAGGAAAGGGGGCAGTGGGTGGGGGTGGCAGGTGGAGGGAAAAGTGGTGGATCCTTCCCAGCCCTGACTGGCTCTAGGAGGGCCTATCCTGCCCTGTCAGCTCTCAAACCTTCTCTTGGCATGGGGTACATTTGGCCACCTCAGCAAGTGCCCTCTCCATACACGGCCATGGGCACCTCTGCTGGGACAGCAGACATCAATCAGACATGGATCCAGCCAGACAGAGGGAAGCACATGGCACTGCGGGGGCCTGGGGCAGAGAGCCCAGGCAGCCTGGGCAATCAGGAAAGGTTTCCTGGGGGAGGTTGCAGCTCAAGTGGCAGAGAGCATGCAGCAAAGGTGAGAAGACCAGGGAGATGAGGTATGTTACCAGGGCATTTTTTTTATAAAGATTTTATTTATGTATTCATGAGAGACAGAGAGAGAGAGAGGCAGAGACACAGGCAGAGGGAGAACCAGGCTCCATGCAGCGAGCCTGACATGGGACTCGATCCCGGGTCTCCAGGATGACACCCTAGGCCAAAGGCGGTGCTAAACCGCTGAGCCACCTGGGTTGCCCTTACCAGGGAATTTCGAATAGCTCAAGGGGTGGCAGGAGGAGCAGGGGTAGGTGTGGGAGAGCACCCCACCAACAACTTTGTGCTATAATGGTCACAACACAGTTTATTGGGCAAGTGCACCTGCAGGCCAAGGGCTGACACTGAGGTGAGAGGCGAAGAGCAAAATAAAACCACTGTGAGCAAGAGAATTAGCACTTCCCACCAGCCACGGGCCCCCACACCTCCCCCTTGACAACCATACCCAGCTGGTCCCATGGAAACAGGGTGGAGCTGTGGGGGTGCCTGACCCATTCTGCACTGAGCTTGAGTAGGTGACTCACCCCTATCAGACGCCAGCCCCTTGGCCCCACCACCTCCACAGACAGAAATGGAACACCAGGTGGGAAAGAACTTCCAGAAGTCAACAGAGGCTAATGGATGGAGCAAGAGGCTCCCAGCAAGGTCAAGGCCTGGTCACCCCTCAAGATAGGAGGACTGGGAAAGTGGCCCTGTCTACCCCTTTCCTCTCTTCTCCCCAAGGAGATGTACTCTATTGGCCAAAGGTCCCTCATCCCTGTCCTGTCACCAGAGCTCCGGAGGGCTCTAAGCCCCCAGATTTGCACCCAGACATGCACACCTGACCTCAGTTCCCAATTGGGCTCTGTGCTCCACCCAGACAGCTGAAGCCACCAGGGAGATAGATGTTCAGGCCAGCCACAGTGAGCTGTGTCAGGCAGTGAAAAGACCATTGAGAAAAGGGACTTTCTCTCTGAGCCTCAAATGCATTGTCTGGAAAATAAGAGAACATCAGCACCCACCTTAAGGCTTGTGTCTGCAAAATATGTCTCCATACCTGGCATACTCAAGTAGCAACAACAATCTCCTAAAAAGCCTTCACAGCAGCTTTCCCACAATGGGGAGCCAGGCCCGACCCCAACGAAACCCCATGCCAGGTCTAGTCTGACAGCATCCGGAAGACAGTGCACACATACTAGACATATACGCATGGGCAAGTGTGCACACAGTCAAGTCCTTCAAAACTTTGCTCAGATTACACCTCCGTGAAGCTGGCCCCCGCCCTCTCTCTCCCCCACCCCATCCCACTTAGGACCAGGCCCTATTTTCCTCACTGCTGCACCGTGTGCCCAAGGGTCTGCCTCTAGCTCTGCCCCAGCCATATGAACAGCCTGAGGTCAGAGACCTCAGCTCCTGCACAGGGCTGGGTCCAGGGCAGACACACAATTTGCTCTTGGTGGCTGCTGACTAATGTAGGCCTTGAGCTCTGAGGACAGTGTCACGACCTGGAAGAAAACATCCTATCTCTCAGGCTAAGTATCCTCTTATCCTCTTATGTCACCCTTAGAACCGGGGTTAGAACTAGCACTCACATTAGTCTGAGGTCTGGGCTTGGGCAAGGCGGCCTGGCTCCAGTGGGTCCCAGGCCTGAAGAGGCAGCACGCCGGGAAGCGAGCAGCACAGGAGGGTAGGCCAGGCTCCCAGCTCCGCGTGACCTCAGGTTAACTGCTGACCCTCTCCACACCTCAAACAGCAACCACTGCAGCGGCCAAGGTTTGAGAAAAGGCCCGGGGAGTGCATGCTGGCCTTGGCCCCATTAATCTTCACTGTCCCCACCCCAATTTTATAGATGACAGAAGGAGGGCACACAGCCTGGGTCCTGACCTCAAGGTGCTGCGGGAGTGGCTCTAAGAGGGAATAACAAGCTGGGCGTGCCTGCCTCAGGACAGGGACCAGGACGAAATTTGGTCCAGTAAAATCCCACAGCCTCCTGCTACCGGCTTCTGTTTTTCTACCTTCTGGAACTGGAACTCCTGCCACGGCCCAGCCACTGGGTAAGAGGCCTTTATGACCAGCTACTGGGGAGCTCAGACCATGGCCAATCCTGTCCCTACCACCTAAAAGCTATTCAGCCATGCCTTCATCTGTCCCCATCCCCAGGAGATGCCCCAAGGCTACTCTCCGGCCCCCACTGGCTTCACCTAGGTCTCACACACACACACACACACACACACACACACACACACACACACACTCAGTCCTCTACTCACCAAGAGGGAAGCCATAGCCACGGCCATGGGCCTTAGGGACACAGGTGCTCCACCCGTTCAACATAAGGTTAGTGGGGCTTCCTCATGCCAAGGTCACGCATGGACCCTGAGAGCAGCAGGGGGACTCTGGGTGTCCAGAGAGGCCTGCTCCCCAGGGGCTCAGAGAATGTGGGAGTTAACCAAAGTGGTTTTAAAAGATGAGCAGGAGTTAGGTAGGCAGGAGGGCCTGGTGGCAGAGGCAAGATTCCCACTGTCCACTGTCTGTCCAGGGTTATGTACGGGGAGAGCCCCAGACCCTCTGGTGTCACACATCTCCCTTTATAACAAACACAGGGAGCCTTTCTGATGATGGGACAGGCCGTGCCACACCTTAGTGTTAGCCCAGGGGGAGGGCATGGGGACAGTTCAGCAGCCCAAGGGCCAGCAGACCAGAAAGCCTCATCAGTGCTACTGCCTCTTCTCAACACATCATCAGCCCAGCCAGATAGCAGTGGAGCGGACATGCCTCTGAAGGGGCAGTCCAGGGCAGGGCAGAGAGGACAGTTCTGCAGCTGGTGGCAGAAACAAACCTCCTTTTGACAACATCCACTGTTCAGCCTCACTGAGCCTGGGCTGTGAACCAGGCCAGCAGCCCCCTGCGCAGGGCAGGAGGCTCACCAGGGCTCAGGGGGAGCTCCGGAGGAAGGAGATGCCCTTCCAGCCCCTCTGCTGTGACCTTTCTCACAGCCCAGAGCATCCCACTCCCACCGCCAGCGTGGGGTCGTGGGGTGTCCTGCCAAACCCTCACTTCTCCTCCTCCCAGGCAGCGAATGGCCCCCTGGGGCAAGACACATGCGCCTCTGCACAGCCATGCTGCGTGACCACCAACCCAAGCAACAGGAAGGCCCTTTGGGGCCAGTCTTCTTTGAACCAGGAGCAGTTTATTGCTTACTTCTCAACAAGCACTGAACAAAGCAATTTACAGACACCAAGCACTCTCTCCCACAGGTGAGTGTCTTCACCTCCATGTGACAGATGGCAGGTGAGTACAGATAAATCAGGACACGTAGCCTAAGGCTTTACAGTCCGGAGTAAACTCTGAGCTTGTCGCTGCTTCCAATCTCCAAAACTGGAGGAGGGGCACCTGGTAGCCCTCACCCAGCACCCAGGCCAGTCCAGCAGATAAAGTGTAGATAAGCACATCTGCAGACCCTCACTCACTGAACTGACACT